CTATCTATCTATCTATCTATCTATCTATCTATCTATCTATCGTTCTATCTACCTACCTATCTATCTACCTACCTATCTATCTATCTATCTATCTATCTATCTATCTATCTATCTATCTATCTATCTATCTATCTATCTATCTATCTATCTATCTATCTATCTATCTATCTATCTATCTATCTATCTATCTATCTATCTATGTATCTATCTATCTATCTATCATTCTATCTATCTATCTATCTATCTATCTATCTATCTATCTATCTATCTATCTATCTATCTATCTATCTATCTATCTATCTATCTATCTATCTATCTATCTATCTATCTATCTATCTATCTATCTATCGGTCCATCTATCTATCTATCTATCTATCTATCTATCTATCTATCTATCTATCTATCTATCTATCTATCTATCGTTCTATCGTTCTATCTATCTATCGTTCTATCTACCTACCTATCTATCTACCTACCTACCTATCTATCTATCTATCTATCTATCTATCTATCTATCTATCTATCTATCTATCTATCTATCTATCTATCTATCTATCTATCTATCTATCTATCTATCTATCTATCATTCTATCTATCATTCTATCTATCTATCTATCTATCTATCTATCTATCTATCTATCTATCTATCTATCGTTCTATCGTTCTATCGTTCTATCTACCTACCTATCTATCTATCTATCTATCTATCTATCTATCTATCTATCTATCTATCTATCTATCTATCTATCTATCTATCTATCTATCTATCTATCTATCATTCTATCTATCATTCTATCTATCTATCTATCTATCTATCTATCTATCTATCTGTCTATCTGTCTATCTGTCTATCTATCTATCTATCTATCTATCTATCTATCTATCTATCTATCTATCTATCTATCTATCTATCTATCGTTCGTGTCTGTCTATAAAAGTAAGCAAAATGTTCAAATAGCTTCCAGCACACTGAACTGCTCACTGGCACAGTTTTTGTTGCAGACACAGGAAGTCAAATATGAGGGCATGATTAGCATAAGCAGTGAGCAGACCTATCCTGTCCTTGATATTCATTGGCTCATTCCGTATGCAAATGCGTCTTGTCCTCCAGGGGCAGAGCTGGATGCTCTACAGGTACAGGATGTCATTTTCCTCCTTACGCTCAGACCTCACACACACACACACACACACGCACGCACGCACGCAGTGAGCCCCTGAGGTGAGAGTGTTTGGCGTGTCTGGCACAGTGTGGGATGTGGGGGCTTGTGTGCCGACCCGCGGCGCGATGACTTTGAAGACACACAGATGAAGGAGAGGAAGAGTGAGATCCTTCATTTAATAAAGCTGACGATGATGTTTACAAAGCAGCGCAACCTCTATTTAAACACCCACCAGATCCACACAGCTTGACCCTCAGGATGGACATGGCAAATTAACATGATCGCACAAATCTGAACTAAACCGGCCACTCCCACAGGAGGCGGAACTGAACTTTGAACTACAATGATTTGTAATTCGAAGATATTCTTACAACAGATGATTTACATTGATGCGATTAATCCTGATTAATCGTTTCACAGCCTTAAAATATATATATATATATATATATATATAGAGATAGATAGATATACTGTATATATATATATATATATATATATTTTTTTTTTTTAATATATATGTATATATATATATATATATATATTTTTTTTTTATAAAATACATTTATATATATATATATTTATTTATTTTTTTCTGGGATCATTAGATAATGTTAATATATAAATACACTGTCTAGTACCGTACATACGTTTTTTTGTCAGTAAAACACATTCTTTTAAAGAAATAAATACTGTTATTCTACAAGCTTGATACTGATTTGTTGAAATTAGTTACTTAGCTAACATGAACTATCAATAAGCTATTTATTTTAATAGCACATATTTATATTTTCTATTGTTTATGCAGGACAAGGCATACGCTAAAACACAACTGAGCATCTTCAGCTCATATCGATCGAGTGTGTGAAGCGGATCACGGCCGGACTGACAGCTTCAACTCTGATCTGAGATCAGTTCTGAGTGCTGATGTAGTGTGAAGCGCTCGGACACACATATGGCTCTCTTTAGAGGAGTGTAACGGTGTGTGTGTGTGTGTGTGTGGGGAAAGACGAGAGCAGAGGATTACACTGCACGCTTTAGTTTCTCACAGCTCACTTGATGGCATGCTTTGCTTCTCACTGGTGTGTGTGTGTGTGTGTGTGTGTCTCCTTCTTAAACACTGATGCTGACCCATCAGCAGTTCTTCAGGGTCTCGTGATCGGCTAAAGCGTGAGGTTGGGCTGTTTTAAAGTCAAATTCAACCCTAAATGTATCTTGATACACATTCCCGGTCATATTGTGAATGATTCACTGGTGCATGCGTGTCAGATTTTATATATGACGGCTGCTTTTATCCAAAGTGATTTGCGATGTGATGAGTTGATATGTTCTCAGGCGTTGCTGACGCCAGCCTCTACAGTTTCAGCTTTCCACATTTTCATATCACCCTTATTCATACAGCACACTTATTCATACTGATGGGTGTGTCGTTTCTTATAGGGGTTTTTTCTGCTGCACTTTTATTCATTATATATTTACATTTGCGTTTTTATTTCTTTATTTAGAATTTTCTGTCCTTTTAATTTATTATTATATATTTTTTTATTTTCTAGATTATTTCTAGATAAAAAGATTTCTTATAGATTACATTACATTTGACCATTAATTTCATAAAATAAATTTTATACACTTTCTGGCCTTCTAATTTGTAATTTATATATATATATATATATATATATATATATATATATACATAATTACAAATTAGAAGATTTAAAGAAATCTTTAGATTTAAAGAAATTAGAAGGCCAGAAAGTATCAAGATTGATATACTTAAATAAATAATAAAATAAATAAATAATAGAAAATAATAATTGTATATATATATATATATATATATTATTATTATTATTATTATTATTTATTTATTTATTTTAATTATTTATCCTATCATGTTACCAATTACATAAAATTGCATAAAATTGTTTAATTACATAAAATAAAATGTATATACTTTCTGGCCTTCTAATTTCTTTAAATATTTTTTAATTTCTGTCATTTATTTATCAGTTTCATTCATTATATATTTACATTACATTTGACCATTCATTTCATAAAATACTTTTTATACACTTTCTGGCCTTCTTTCAATTTTTTGTATTAATATTATTTCATTTATACTGTCCGTTTTAAAAATTATATATTTGCATAACATAACATTGAAGGAAAAATTTTTTATTTTCTGGCCTTCTAATTTTTTATATTTTATGCTGTACATTGTATTCATTCAATATTTACATAACATTTTATTTTTACATCATAAATTGATAAATCTTGTAACCATTTATTAAAGAAGATTAAGCAATACTAACATTTTGTGCACTTTGATTATTTTGCTATTCTAAAATAACCCATGCAAAGTCATTTTTATATGAACTGATATCAGTTGAAAACAAAGTCAGAAGTCAGGCCTCATCCAATCTAAATCAGGGGCTTTAAAACGGCTAACAAGTGCAAATGAAGTTTACGGTGACTCGCTCTCACTAGCTCGGCTTATTACAGTAAAGATCTTAAGACGGATCAGCCTCTCCTCAGTTATTTACTGACTCACTCGCTCTCCTGTGACCTCTCGCTCTGTCTTCTGAGTAATCAAATGTACATTCACTAATCAATGCACTGTCTTAATGTCCTCTCAGCCCTTCCTCTGTGTCCGACTGTAGTTCCCGTTGCTGCTGATCTGGAGGCTGTCTGTGAGGTTCATGCAGTCACCATACCAGAATGCCTTGTTTATACTAGATTATTGATAATTACACCCATTATCAGCCCAAAGTCAAACCAGTTCAAAACAGGCAGGGCTTCAACTCTGGTGTGTGTCAGGCACCGGATGGAAACACACACTACTCCTTAAAAAAAAAACGCTCGATTTGAGATACAATTTGTCTTATTTATAGATTAAAATTATTTATAGAAAAAAAAATTAAAACTTAGTGTTATTGATTATGTTATATTATATTATGCTACTTTATTATATTAAATAAATATTTTATTTATTTGTAGAAATGTAATACTAGAGGTTAGAGGTTTGTTTAACAGTTGTAATTATTATTTTATATTAATATTTTTAATAATAATATTTGGTTTAGGGGTTTGTTGTAATATAATATATTATTTGTATGTATTTTAGTGCTTATTGTTATAGATGTGTTCAACAGCTTTAATTATATTTATTATAAAATAATATTTTTTAATGTATTTTTATTTTATTTTTAGATATTGTATACTTTGGGTTAGGGATTTGTTCTACTATAATTATAATAATGTTATTTATATATTATTATATTATATTAGGATATATATATTTATACAATTATTATTATGTGGGTTGTATTATAAAATAATATATATATTAAAAGAATGAAAAAAAAAAATTAAAATGAATATATATATATATATATATATATATATATATATT